GCATGTGAGCGAATGTAGCGACAGGAGCAGTCCAAGGCTGCAAGCTGATGCAGATGAGTCGTCGCACGTGCCATCTCTTAGGCAATGCCGTACATAGACATATGACAAATGAGATGTCGGTTAGTTATCATGAACCTTTTTTTTTTTTTTTTTTTTTTTTTTAACAGATCCTTATGGTTCTAGTTGTCATAAACCTACAGAATGACTGCATTCAAATTTCAAATTTCAAATTTCAATAGAATTTCATCTCCTTTCTTGAATGATCGACGGCTGTTATGCATGTGTAGTTTTGTACTGTCCAGTGTCCAGTGTCCAGGCACTGAAACTGCAGGTGGCAGGGCAGGGTGCTTCATGTTAAAGTTTCTTGGAAGATCCTCCACAAGGATGGATGGATGAGTTGGCGGCTCAAGGAGCCCATTAACTCTCAGTCACTGCGCTGTATTGAAGTGTATTCTACTATTCTGTATTCATCTTCGTTTCCTCATTCTCTGAGTTTCGTCAGAATTTCATGAACACAGGCATGCGTAATAGGTGGTGCTCCTTTTATCTCAGTTCACTTTTAGATATATATACGTGTATATATTATATACATATGACGATATATTATATATATATATATATTATATATACGCAAGGAAGATGAGCGATAGCGAACTTCAGCAATCAAACAGCATCATATACACAAGACCAGATAGTCGTGACCTCGAACCAACAGCAGAATTGCATCACGAGTTTCACCAAATAAGAAGTCACCAAGAGCTCATAATTGACAATGCTGGTACAGTCTCATCATCATCATCAATGAAGAACCAATGTTGATATCCTATTTGGCGCTCGGCGCCCAGACTACAGATGGCAGATCCTATCTAGCCTAGACTACAATGCCGAAGATGACGTCAACAGCTTTCCCGAAGTACGAGCATACAGCGACCAATGTCGCACGCTTCCAGCACCAGGTATGTCTCTCGCCTCACTCACAACCTCGTTCCCCAACACTCAGATGCCACTCGCACCCAAGGACCACCCTGCACCACACCCAGCTTACAGCAGCGCAGCTCGGCTATGGCTGCCTGCTCCTTCCTGCTCGCCCGTGAGCGCGTGAGTGCTAGTGAGCTACAGCGCGGCAGCGCTTGCGCAGCATGCAGCCAGCACCCGAATGCCAAATGCGGAGGCAGGCCCTTTGCTATATGGAAGTGGCCTGCCTGCTTGCTGTCCCAGGCTGTGCTGGGCCTTTCCCAAGAAGCTTCCGGTAGGCCCCGGTAGGCTGAGGCCCAGTCCACACAACTCAGGCCCTGGGCCTGTAGTGGTTGCGTGCGCCCAACTGTCTACGGCCTGTGTTAGGCCCACATCCCGTATCCAGCCCAGGGCCTGCCTTCGATACATTCAAAAAGGCTGGCGAGGGCGTGGGTTCTTCCAACCAACTGGCGATGCGCAACTGCCTGAATTTCCTTGAGTTGCGTGGTGACCAAAATAGGGGCTCTCAGGCCCTCGTCGTGCCTGCCTTCACTTAGGGCGGCCGACGTGATACTTGGCAGGGCCAAAAAGGGGGCTCATCGGGGCATAAGCCTCACATTTATATATATATATATTAATAATATTATATATATTATATGTATATTATATAGTTGTCCTCTTCTTCTCTCTGCCTACGGTTTACCGGGCAGTTCTGTTTGTGACGATATCAAATAGGTCCTTATGGCCCTGGCTCCATTTCCATTCTGGGGAGCATCAGTCCGGTTCCTATTCCCCCGGCAAGTCAGAATAAAATATTACATCATGAACACAAATACGCTTCTTTCCATCTGGCTGAAGGACCCCTGACCAGCATTGATTACTCCAGCATCGTGGAGGATTGACTGTCAGCTTGCCCTGCTTCTCCCTTTCCTCTCAGGACCACAATAATGGCCTGTCAGATAGAACATACATGGCAAAAAAGGGCCTGGATGCTACAAAGGCTGTCAATTCTGTCTAAACTCTGATCTCCGCCCATAATTCCTAATTCATAAACCTAACTATGAACTTAGTATGAAGGCTCGTCATAGTTGGGTTTATTAATTAGGAATTATGGGTTAGGGATCAGAGTTCACTTTTATATATAACAATCTGTTTTGCAGCTTTTGCCATATTTACTGAGCTGTTATCGTGTTACTGTGAGGTTAGTAAAAAGTTGGTAAAAAGTTAAAAAGTTAAAAGTTAAAAACATCACGATCTCAGCAAAGACTGCTTGGCAAGAGTAATGATGAGACAGGAGATACTGGGGATTTTCCTAAATGTGTATACTATAACTCTTCCGCTCCCTCCTCCTCCTCCTCTCCGCCCTTCCTCCCCTCCATGGCCCTTATCCCTCTTTTGGAGATACCAAATCGTGGTTCTCCCCTCTTCTCCTCTCCACCGTTGGTGTTACGCCTCGCTTCCCTTCGCAGGGTGGATTTGTTGGTATCCCGACGAAGCTGAATTGCACTCCTCATTCCAGAGAAATTCGAAAGTACTTCTACAGAGACGTCTGTGAAGCTACGAAGAGAGCTGTCGAAGATGGGCAGACTCGGCTACAGGTGTGTGTTGACCCCTCAGTTCCCTCGTGGGCCCAAGCTTTGTGTCTTTCTCTGCCCCGCTTCCATCGCCCTACCCGTTTGAATTCTGAAGTTTATAAGCTTATATATATGTTTTGTTGTCTTTTGGGTTTTACTTTGCCTTCTCCCCTTTGCCCTCGTGTTACCTATCTCGCTTTCTATCAGCTTCCTCTTTTGCGGCTCCTCTTGCCTGTTCAAGAAATGATCGGATGGGATAAGATCCTTTCCCCCATGGGCACAGGTTTAAATGCCAGAATGGCCCCCCCATGCGCCCCGCCCTTCTTGGGACTCCCCTGCTGCGTGGCTGGGGTGCTGCCAGCAACGGAACCCTTGAAGAAGGGCCACGGTTTGGGGGGTGGGACGCCCCGTAGCAGCCTCCCCCTTGGTCAGGTGGCTAGTGCCGCAAGGGTAAGGCTGACCCTTGGTCTGTTCTCTTTCCCCCTTCTGAGCTGAGGAAACATAACATGCTTGCCGGTGACAAGTAATCGGACTGATGGCCCCCCCGGAATAGAAGGGGTCATGTTTTCATTGAAAAGAAGAAGAAGAAGAAGAAGAAGAAGAAGAAGAAGAATCTTGAATCTCGTACGAGACTACGAGTTCTTTTTGTTATTTTTCAAAATTTTCAAACAGAGAACTGAGAAATAGAAGGGGAGTGGAAGGTTTTTTCAACCTTTTTGAAGTTTTTGAACTTTTTGTATGAAAAAAAAAAGAAAAAAAGAAAAGTGAAGTTTGACTGAAGAACCTGCACAACACTTCCCTCCATTATGGCCGAGGCAATTGGAGGGATGAGTTTTTTTAACTTTTTTCAAGTTTTTTGAACTTCTTTTCCTTTTTCCCCCTTTTTTTTTTTTTTTACGAGAAGTCAAGTTGTCTGGAAAGTGTGAAAAATCGAGTTTGTAGTACTTTGTACGCATCTGGCCGGACGGATTCGAGTTTGCCGCGAAGGAGAGCAATCAACGACAAATTCGACAATGGATGAACTCTCCTTCTTGGTCTCTCAGGCCTCCTCCTCTGTGAATGTCTTCTCTCTTCCTCGCCTGTATATGGTACCAGTTTACAACTTTGACGCCCAGTGGCTGCTGATTGCCTAGTCTCTCTTTCTCACCGACTCCTACGCTCGTCAGCGTAGCAGTGTTTCCACCCAAGCACGAGCAGAATGAATGATTGACGACAACGGCTGCTGTGCTTTTATATGTGATAATAGAGCTGCCAGCTCTTGGGCATGCAGACCTGGTTGACCTGGTACCTCGCTGGCTTGGGCCTCTTGGCCTCTTGACATTTCCGGAAAATATGTCGGCCTACCTGGGACCCCGGGCTGCAGGGTATTTTGACTCAACTGGATGGGACCGGGCTGGATCCAACTGGTAGCGTACTGGAGGCTGGACCTATCCAACCTACCGGGGGTCCTAAGCTAACGAATTTCTACCCGGAAAGCTTTGGCCTTAGTGATACACAAATGGTTTCATGATCAGAGGGGGTTTAAGGTACTACGTGAGATGGCGGGGGGGGGAGGGAGAGGGGGAGGGAGGGATTGGGGATGACACATACTTGCTTCGGGAAACAGCCTGTTGTGGATAGAGTTCGAGAGATGGATTCTAAGTGGGTGCATGCTTGGCACGCTCAGGGGGTAGGCCACGCTGGTGCCCCGACACCCCTACAACCTTTTACACACTGGAGCGATGCTCATACTTGGAAGGCGCGACCCCGGCCATAAATAGTGGCAAGGTTCGTGCTTTCCTAGCCGAAACACGACAGCGGTGGGGACTGCCTTGATATATCTTTGCTGTATAGCAAACCATGACCAAACCTATTTTCTCTTTTTTACTTCAATGCTATAAATTTACTTTCGATCCGTAAATGTCGTACGTGTGTCCGATATGTATCTGTGTCCCTACCCTCCACTCTTCCCTTCACTTTTCGTTACCCCCTGGCCCATCTTCTCATCCCCAACACCCCTCCCTCACCTGCCTCCCACATCTTTTCCTCTTCCCCACTGTCGATCGATGCCATGTGTCTCCATCTCTCTAAACAACAACAAACTGCGCGCTCAACTGTTAGTTACTTCGCCCTTGCCCTGTTTGTTTGTGTTGTTGTGTTGCTTACACCCTGCAGGTCAGATGTACAATACCGGAGCTGAACCCGGAATTGGTAAGTTCTTATTGTAATATATTTTTTGAATTGTTTTGAATTGTTTTGATTTTTTTTTTTTTTTTTTTTTT